GTTTTTGGTAATCTAACAGTTTTGTTTCCTTCTAGGATATACAGCGCACCGATACCACCATGAACACAAAGCAGTCCGGAAACCGTTACACTTTTTTTAGCTAAAATATATGTAACCATCAAAAAACTTCATATTTCATCTTGTTCCAGCTACATCGTCGGCTTTTCCCACGGGATGAACCGTACGAGTCTCGCAGTTGGGGCCGCATGTTGGTGTTGTTCCCACGTGTGACCTGGGTTCATTCAGTTAGGTGGCATGAGAGACTCGAGCTGCGTTTACCCTAATGGTTAAAGTGGAACAATTTCAACCAACAGCTTGTGGGTTTTCGTTGATTCATGGTGGCGTTCGACGATAAGTCTTGTACGTGATAGCTCACGGTGTACATCAATGCATGTAAAGAACACCATATGTGAATTGTCAATTGGTGCCCGCAGTACGATATCGAGCAGTTCGCCTGGTCATGTACAATTTGTGGCAATTTTCAGGTCCCTTTCCAGTTAGTTGATATCCTAGGAGTAAAAGCCATATTCTGAAGACATTGTGTTCATGTGACATCGTACAGATTAGCAGCCCTTAGTGAGTGTTTGTATCACGATAATTACCCTTCATAGGGCCTCCCAAGTCACAGAGAGACACGTTTCCGCATTTGCCTAGTCAGACAGGAGCGGTTTCAACAAATTTATTCAGGTAAACAAGCTTTCTGCAACAATTGTGTAAGCCGTAACAATTCACACACCTTATTCTGGCTACAAAAAAACGTACAGCATGCGTTCAATTTAAGCCGATCACATCTTCCGCTGAGTAGATATACTTTAACACACTGTTTCGCAATTCGAGATATTGATGGAGGCTGAAAAATCATTCACTCCGACAAATCACTTAAAACAGAAAAATGCAGAAACACCTGCGAAAAACCGCAGTTTCCTAGAAATCATTTCCATCCGATGCACATGATCGGTGTCCGGTTGCGAATTCCCGTCCTATAATAATCCGTCTCGGATTCTCATACGCCAACAAAAATCGGTCCAGTAGCTTGGTTGCCATGGTAATATCGAGTATTTTCGATTCCGAATAGTACACGCAACTGGCATGCAACAGCAGAGCGACGCAAGACTTCACTTGTCATGTTGCACGCATGTACTTGTCGAAGCAGTGTTAACAGTACTCTGTCACTAACCCTGACCTTAGTCAGGGTCACGCTACAACGTTCATCACACAATGCAAGGAATTGATGAAGAGTATCTGCCCATCAAAAAGGGTGATAGGGAGGGCACGGTGTGCTGTACGATAGAAATTGTCTTAGTTGTGAGAATGTTCCCGTTTCAAACCAACTAATTTTGGGTTACAACTTGAAATATGCACCCTGATAGACCGTCAACGGTGAGCTAGTCTAAAAATTGCTCTGATCATGTGCAAACTTTGCACTTTGTTCACGTTTTATTCACGCGCTTCACTTCCATTCCGATGGACAGTCGGCACGAATGATATTCGGATACAATGTATGAAATTTCCATGAGGTAAGAGACAACGCTACAGAATCTCCGATAAAACAATCGGTTGAGAACGTTTCTGCGGATCTAGAAGGTAGACTTGCCTTGATCGGAGAGGAATTAGCTTGGAACATGTGAGCACCGATTCGTTCATGTTAAGGTTGCCTCTCGGCATACTGTGGTAGTCTGTGAAACGGTTTGTCAACCTGAAAGTCGGTGTACTACTGAGGCCGTTGAATTCACAATGTCACGAGATGACTATCGTTCAGATCAAGTTTTGGATAACGTTTACAGCAGCACTAATAATTTATCTGATGTTTCGCTTGTCCGGGACAGGATAGGGGTTCGAACCTGTGAATGACCCCCTGGGGAAAGCATTACTCTTGAGCATTGGAAAGGGCCAGTATTGTAAGCAGTAAACTGTGAGTTCATACATTCCTATGTTGAACGGCCGGGAAAATAAGGCGGGCTAACAGTTCGATTTGTTTCCATCAGGCTACTTTTTATTACTTTTTCCGCAACTGTACTATCGATCCCCGTCATTTTTTCAAAAATTTTTGCCTCGATTCATAATTCGTCTTCAACCGGGAGGAAACCCATCCCTTATAAGTTACGACAAAAATAACCAAACTTGAGATGCTTGAGACGTGTTCAGCGTCAACTAACGAACAAGAGTTTTTAAATACAATCAAGCTCTGGCTCAAGAAATATTCCACCCAAAACTAGAAAATCACTTCGGTACCTTCAAGGTTAAGGCAGGACAACTAATCGATGGAATCAAATGGATTCACAACTAGAGAAAACAGGAGATAAGGCGCACGCACTCAGATACCGAAAGTGTTGGGCAGCATATACTGCGGACGTCAAACTGTATTTACAGTCGCACTTGCGGTCAAGCCCAAATAAGGGTGACGGACTACGTCCCTAAGCGCATTCTGAGCACTTTGAATCAGCCCAATGACAGTCGGTCAACGTTTGGCCCGCTGCACCTACCGCTAAACGCCCTGTCAACCGTTGCCACTAGTTAACATCTCCTAAGCCCTCTGTAAGGTAGCCGCAATAGATGAGGGACCCTATTTGTTGACCTTCCTTGGAGCTTTCGCGATAACACAGTTCAGGTCGGGAATTGCTTTACAAAAGGATCAAGCCAGATAGACTGATTTGCAAATCAATTTGGTTGTCACGAGAGACTCAACTGAATCTCTCGTTCATGATATACCACCGGTCATGGGCTGTCGAAGAGTTTTCAGCAACCTTGTGAGTAGTTTCCTTTATGAAAATATACTGCGATATCTCGAATATCGTACCAAGTGAATCATGAGGCGGCCTGTGCGCAGCACATTCAGTTGTAGAATATCATAAACTAGAGATTCAGTTGAGTCGCTCGCGACAACTGAATTCATTTGTAAATGAGTGTATTTCTCGAAAACGGTCCAATTTGGGTTCAAGTAGAACATAAAGTTGACGGAAACTCGGGGACTGCGTCTACCTGATGAGCCCCAAGAAGGGTGAAACCGGTCGTGGGCTGTCGAAAGATCAAGCCAGATGTTACATACACCCTAATCCACCTACTCCGGACAAAGTTGTGTGTCTTCCCGTTTATTGGTTAACTATGTGACGTGTAGCAACGCTAGCAAAGGTACCATCCAGCGCAAACTGTCTTCGCCTCTCGCTATTCGGTAAGAAAGGTTACAGAGCACATTCACTGCTTTCAAAAGCAGCACAAAAACTGAGCAATGACCGGTGACAGACTTTGTTGGTACAATGAAATCAAACTGAATCACACGGGATTGCTGCAATCCGGTCCGTTTGTACAATGAGGCGTGCCTTGGTATTCTTAAACAAAGAAATCATGTTTGGCCTTGCCCCCAGAACTAGAGAAGAGGCTAAAAAGTTTGTCACAGGATGCAAAAGCCAGAACCACGACAAGGGAGGCAGCGATACTGTTATGTTTAACCATTGCAGCAAACCGGTGGTGTTCAGATGTCACTAAAACCGCAAAGAATGAACAACACACAGATGATAAGGGATCGAGAAGGGAGGAGTGGGAATTTGTTGCAAATAGCCATGTACCTTGCGGAATAGAGATCGATAGCAACATGCACCTAGAAAGCATTTGAAGATCGATTTCCGTAACGGAGTATCAATCGCACAATCTTTCCGCTATCCAATCAGACAACAAAACGGAAAACTTCAGTCGGTTAAGTGATACGTCTTCTAAAGCTTTCAGCTAGGTAGTAAAGAGAATGCTCCCTGATCTCACTTCACACAGTCATATTTCCTGCTTTCCGTGAACTTTACTTTGACGAAGTATAAAACGGTTGAATATGCTTAACCAGTTCAATCTGGCAAATTTTATTTGACGCCTTAGCTAGTGTTGATTTCTCGGAGAAATAAGATGTGCAAACTTTACGTTACCTCAAATTATTCGGCGGTAATCTGATTTTCTTGTTCTCCCATTCTATCGAATACGAACTTCGACTGGTGATTTAAGGGACGGACAACTGACAGTTTGCTAATGTCTCGCACTCATCACTACGGGCTCTAAGTACGTCTACATCACTGCTTGCGTTTGTCGTCATCTGGGCCGAGTACCGTTTGCGGGGAGAAGCTGGTCTTGTCTCAAACAGACGGTGGATGCTGGGGAAGGAATTCAGGAGGCCAGTGACCTGGCAATGAGCCATGTGACCAAGATCACGTCGTTTAGCCCAGGATCTATCCAGGGTAAATCTACCCTGCATGTGATTCTCTGTTGACCAGTATCTCTTTATTTGACTTTAGTACAGTTTACGCAAACTACGGGCGGGACGGTAAGCGATATGATCATCATCATCATCATTGTCAACTGTAATAACCGCGTACTCGTCGTGCAGTGGTTGTAGCAGCCACGGTTTCGTTCACCGATGATTCGGGGAGGTGGGGTAGGTAGCTGCGCATTGGAGGCGGGAGCTGATAAATTAGTGCGTGAACACAGCACTGTAGGTGGACTGTTAAGTGGGAAGGGGGTTTGGAAGGGAGCTATGCATTGGAGGCAATAGCTTGGATGCATGAGCACCATTGAGGGCGCGACTGGGCCATGTCTGACAATGTCTCCAACCATAGATGTGGCCCGTCTTGGGATCTCCATCCAGGACTATGGCAATGATCAGCGCAGCTGAGTTTGCTGGTAATGGCTTTTATACTTCACTGCCAAGCCATTGTTTGACCGCCTCTGGCTCTCTTCCGCCCTTCACGTGGTTGTGCGAACAGAGCCCTTCGAGGAAATCGGTCGACTGGCATACGCAACACGTGGCCAAGCCAGCGCAACTGATGAAATGTGATCAGTTCATCTATCGAGGGTGAGTTATTTCTTTCGAATACCATGCGACGTACTTCAGCGTTGCTGATCCGGTGTTCCGACCAGACTTGGGCAATGCACTCAAGACATCGATGGTCAAACACTAAAAGTCTTTTGACGTCCTCAGCGCGCAACGGTCAGGTTTCTGATCCGTATAGTAATATGGAGCGCACCGCAGCATTGTAAACTCGATCCTTGACGGGTGAGATGATGTCACGCCTACGCCACAGGTGACGTAGGTTCGCAAAAGCTGCTCTGGCCTTCCCAATCCGGATGGAAATATCATCTTTCGCGAGACCATCTGGACCGATACAGCTGCCCAGGTAAACAAATTTGTCTATTACCTCAATCGGTTCATCCGCAAGCATGAGGCTAGGGTTTGAGCCCACTCAGTCTCGCAGTAGCACTTTAAACTTTGCAGGTGTGAAGCGCATGCCGAACCGTGAGGCAGAATTATTTAGATTATTTAATATTGTTTGCCTTGCCACGTAGTTAAATCCCAGAAGAGCTATATCGTCTGCGTACTCGATATCTGTGAGCGGACGCCCAGGGAGCACTTCGACCCCACAGGCATTAGGGGCTGGTAGTGAGTCTTCCATGATCGCATCAATGACGAAGTTGAAGAGGAACGGTGAAAGAGGACAGCCATGTCTGACACCACTTGATATGGTGAACTCAGGCGAGAGCTTCCCGTTGACCTTCACACGGCCACGATATGATAATTGGAACTATTACGTCTTTCGGCCTGCAAAGCACCGGTGCTTTCTAAGACAACCTTCTCTGTTCAGTATGTTTACATTCATTCGTTACCGTTCTTTTGTTTCTCTATACCAGTCTAACAGCTCTAACAGACCATTTCCATCCTCGGTTCCTTCTGTATGCCGTTTTATTTGTTCCGTAAGCTCATTTACTGTACCTAACTATTTTCTTGGTTGTTGCACCTTCCCATATTTTGCGGATAGTACGTTCTTACTTAATCGACCCATTTTTTCAAACGGGCAGTGATTCCTACACTCCCATCTGCTGTTGTCCGTCACTAATAAATTATCCGCTGTCCACTGTCCCAAGCACAGACGTCCAAACCAAATCGGTTCTGCGTGAGATCGAACAGCATATTGTCCCGGATTCCACCCACTTGCGCATCACCGCACCGTGTTATGGATGGCTCTGTTTACTTCGACATATGGATATCGTCTAGTCCTGAAGAAAATGGACTACCTAGAACGTATGCTGCCAAGAAAACCATCGCACGGACAACGGCACCAATCAATTCAGATACGCATTCACACAACCACATGGCAACTACATCATGTGATCAACACTGATGCAATCAGCTGATAGACAATAATCGGGGCAAAGCCGGACAATGGCTGCCTGCGGTTTTGGGAACTGTTATTCACCAAACGCCTTTCCTAAGTTTGTACTACACTCTGAAACGATGCAGAAACAACAACATAGATCGATTGGCGTATTTCCGCTAACAAGTCCAAGGATATTTATCTATACTCGTCGCCACTTCTACGCGAAAGTAACCCATCAGGAGCGTCCATTTTCACCTCCCCAGCTCCATGCAAACTTTCCTCGTGACCTAGTAGTATGGTGAGTTCATACCAAGTAGGAGAAACACTGGACCCTAGTTTCGCTCTTATTAGAGCTCATCAGCGGTACATATTTCTGGCCCAGCCGAAGTTTGGAGATCTGAGGGGCGAGCCGAGCGTGTTACCACTGCAACACCGACGCACGCTGGAAGCATCTGAATTTCCATGTCTGAACAGGTAAACGTACTCACGCTTGAACGACGTAACTGTGCCAGGAGATCCACTGACCAAACGAACACATGACAAGACAAAGGGGGCCATTTTAAACGATTCTGTTGAAAATTGGCCTGAGACTCACTACTCGCAAAATGGGCCATCTGTTTCAGCAACAACTTCACTGAAACCAACAACATTCATGAAATTAGGTTGTCAGTGCTCAACTAGAAATGACGACCGGATAATTCTGATGTGGCAGATGGGGCCAGATAGCCCAAGAGCGCGAATTTACTGATCGGAAGGTCTGTGGTTCAAACCCAACCTCTGCCTCTCGCCTTCCCCTGTCTAGGCTTGGGCAACCTGGTAGTATCCCAGCATGGCAGTTAGGCACCGAAGGGCGCCAAAGCTGAACGATATTTTTACGCGTTTCCATCGAGGCTACAGGTCTCTAGTAACCAGTTTTGCGATTCATTTATATGGTCGAAAAATAGCGCTTCGGAATCATACTTTTTCGCCCAATCTTGTGAAAATAACCCAAGATTTTGTTGCAGCGCAACAGCCTCCCTCCCGATTTTCGGCCTTTGGTTTCCGGTAAAAACCCGACGCAACCAAGCAGCTTGTGCTAGAGGAGGTCCATTAGTAATGTGCAAGCTGGTTACCCTTGTTTGTCTACTAACCGGACATAAAACGAAAGCACCTTATACGTGTAGTGAGGCAGCAGTCCCGAGCAGCGATGGGAATCGCAATATTTCAACGGAGAACACATCTAAGCTTCTATGATGGTATTCTTGAAGCAGTTTGCTTACTTTGTTACAAAAGCGCGAACGTATTGGAGAAGGTTGAAGGCAGTAGCAGATGTATGCCCTAAGCTGAAAGCGGTGCACGGAAATAAAGAGGCTGTGAAACACTGTGTTGATTTCGACCACATGTATTACAGACGAGGCGTGTGCGCCGGAGCCCTGGCACTCCAGAAACGCCGCAGATGTACCACCCACAACGAAGGCGATTGACATGTTTCAGCCATCTGAACGTACCCAGCAGATAACCGGTGGTGCACTCCCGGCATCGGTGACCCTAGGGTCTAGTAACCAATCTGGACAAATCCGCATATTGGTTCAAGTGAGCTAAATATTCTCTCTCCACGGATAACACATTCAAAAAATTCCAGCAGCTGTTTGCTTATACAGCCACGTCTCTGTAAAGCAAACACCAGCAAGCGGAAATAGCTCCATCCAGAAGATGATCTTTGAGGTATGAAAGTTCCCGGAACTAAAAGGTTGATATACCCCCCAAGAAGGAACACCACAATAGAATCAACAGTAACAGTCTTTCGGTGTCAAGCTACCGAGAGACCGAAGGAAGTACGAGGACCAGGATACTGGTATATACTATTGATGAGGCGTGCGAGTAGTGCCTTCTCATAAATCCGCCTCACGTCTGTTGAAAAGTGATATCTTTTACGGAATTTGTGGAGTCGCTTTGTAGCATTTGCTCGCCATTGAGTAACAGTCAATGACTATCTGGGAAAGTTCAGGAAGACGCGTTCGAGGAGAAAATGGATATTCAGTTTTGTAAACAAGATGCATATTAGAGTTTTGCTTCCCTGTCCAATAGTCTGTAACCGTTCAGTTGGCACTTTCCAATAAATAACTCCGCAGCGAAGGCCTTCTTCCTTTCGCCGGTAGGTTGCTCAAGCCTAGACAGAACCGATCGAAATGCTGAGGTTGAGTTTGAACCACGAATTTCGCGGTCAGTAAATTTGCGCCTTAACCACTAAGTAAACTCGAGCTCAAAATAACTGAGAGGAGGAATGCTACCCCGCGAAAGTTTTCTATCGCATCATATACAAATGGGATTTTAGCAAATCAGTGTAGGATTCAGTTACCATGAAAAAACACCCTCCGAAGAGATGCCAACGCACAGGGGGTTCCGACAATAATGCACTGAATGCTCCCTTCTGCTACAGTCCATCAACGCCCAAAACGCGCGCGTTCCTTTCTACATCGTCTGTCCTATCAACCGAACATTCATACGCATAGCTATCTCTCAATCAATCGTGTTTTTTCTTCATGTTCTGTAAGCAGAAGAGATTAGTGAATGGATTTTCACTAGGCTTTCTCATATTTCCGTGCACCAGAGTTTGCGTACATAAACGGACTGAGGTATCGGATTTATTTTTATCTAACCTCCTACTAAGCTGTAGCACCCTTTCAGTGTCTAGCTGCCATGCCACCCGAAGGAAGCACTAGGGCTGGGATACTGCCAGGTTGCCCAAGCCTAGACAGGGGAAGTCGAGAGACAGAGATCGGACTCGAACCACGGACCTTCCGGTCAGTAAATTCGCGCTCTAGTCACTTGGTCCATCTTACCCCCCTTTCCTACTAATAAGTAGTACAACTATTGAAAAGCTAGAAACATGTGTGAAATGCCTTTCAAACGAGTACAAAACCTTTGCTTACAAGTCGTGTGAACTATGCCCTTGTATGTGTACTGTTCGCTTCGTCAAAATAGAAGTCTGCAGTCGCTGCGTGCTCCAAGTGTCATGTTGGTGTGCTATATCAGATCGAAGAAAGCAGACGTGTTCTGTTGACGCTTCATCTTGAAGGCAGTTACTGCATATCACACTCACACAAACAGGTTGCTAAAAGGTCTTCGACAGCAACCTGGTGAGTAGTTTCCTTCAAGAAAACAATATCCGTTGGGCGGAGAAAATCAAGTGCGCCCCCTGTGATTCGTGTGTTTGCTTATGGTACACTAACAACGACGTAGCCTTATCGTGCGGCAATATTAGCACAAAACAACCATCGTAGCTTAATTTTAAAAAACCACGTGACCGTGCAAATGATTGGTGCGTGTCTACTAGTCATTCTGACGTTCTTGCCAATATCATCACGTCCATCGATCTCAAATCTGTTTGAGAGCACCGAAAAGCAAGGGCGATCCATGGAGTTCCGGAATGGACAGTCATAAGACCCCTTGAACACGACGGATGGGCGGGGGGCTTTTACGGACCGATGGCATATGCACCCTTTTCTTCATGTTTGAAATGCCAGAAAAATGGCTTCAAACATTGAGGTTAAAGCACTTAGCTTGAATTCATCGTTAATTTCGGTCGATTTTGCCGAAACTTAAGGAAGCCGCAGTAAGCAACCTCATCATGGACAGCACGATATCAGTGTTAAACAGTGACGCTTCGCTGCAATGCAGACATCACTTAGTTGAACACCTGAAGACGTCTCAGTTCCGCGGCTCGAACACGTCAATTCTCACAGACGCCTCTTCCGGGATTGCAAGTGGCATGTCCAGCGACTGCATCCAAAAACACCTGAGTCTTCACCTCTTCACCTCTTCACGTCGTCTGCACATTCCACCTCGACAAGTGTTTAGAAGACCTTCCATTGTTTGTTTCATTGTCTCATCGACCACGGAATTAAATAGGGACGAAAGAGAGTTGGCACCTCTGACGTACACCGCTTTGTGTACGGAAGCTTTTGGAGAGCCCTGCGTATACTCTCGCACGTCCAGAAGTCTGCGAATACAAAGAACTTATTATGTTAACAAGCTTCAAGGGCATTTCTTGATGGGAAAACGTGTCAAGCAGGGCTGATCGGTCAACTGAGTCGAATGTGCCTTGGAAATCCAACAAAACTAGAACTGTGGGTCGTTTGTGCGTATGACGTTGTTCTAGCACCTGACGGAGTGTGAAGATTTAATCGATGTAACCCACATCAGGCCGGAATCCGGCTAGTTGCTCTCGAGTCAGTGTTTCACGAGCCACCATAGGTGACGAAGCACGAGTGACGCCAACAGTCTTGTTACAACCGGGATCAAGCTGAATCCCCTAATTGTTTCCACACTCACTACGAGCCTTTTTTAAATGGGTACTATCATCGACTCTCTCCAGTTGCCCGGGCCAGGTTTCTTTCCCAAATGCAAGCAAACAGATCAGACGAGCACTGACTGAGGGCTTCACCGCCGTCTTTGAACAGTGCGGGCGGAAGGTCATCCGGACCGGGAGCTCGGTGGCGCTTGAGAGAACATATGCAGTCCTAAACCTCCGAGGCCGAAGATGGTTCCACGTTCATCGTCCAGGGTTCTACTTCACCTGTGCGCTCTAGATGAGTGTTGGCTGGTGGCCACGACAGTCGTTGTTCGAAGTATTCAGCCCACCGGTCGGGGCGTTCTTCTTTATTCGAGATGGTCGTTCCATTCTGACTTTTGATGGTTTCGCTTACAGGAGGTTTCCGGGGTCTGGTCGCGCGGATCAGCTGAAACAATCTTCGGGCATTACCCGCTTTTTCGGCCTCATCCATTACCTTGGCTTTCTGTGTCCATCAGACTTCACTGTCAGCTCGAACGTTCACTTTCACTTGATATCTGATAATTCGTAGCGTCAAGTTATGTTCGGGACCAGTTGGGATATTTCTTCGAGATTTAGGCAGTGTCACTGTTCGGTCTGATATCCAGTGCTCGAGTAAACCTGGTAGCGCCGTGCAACAGGCCACGCTCCCACCCCTGTGCAAAGCGATGGCGATTTCGTCCCAGTATGAATTCACACCTGATGGTGGAGCATTTGGAAGAGACTCTAGAAGATTATGCTGGAAAATTCGTCCAACATCCGGATGTACCAGTGCTTCAGTTACCAGGCAATTTTTCCGCACCTTAAGCGGAAAACGTCGTGAGAGGCGACTCATCATTCTAATCATCATTGTCAGCTGTAACAACCGCGTACTTGTCGTATAGTGGTTGTAGCTGCCACAGTTTCGTTCACCGATGATTCGGGGAGGTAGGTAAGTAGCTGCGCATTGGAGCGACTCCGGACGAGTGAATGGTCGGAATCCACAAATGTGTTCCAAAACGACCGGCAGTCCGTTATTGATCCGCGCCATCGGTAACGTGATCAATTTGAGTTTGTAGCCAGCACGTTGAAGGACACCATGTGGTCAAACGACTTCGGCCATTTCGGAAGTTAGTACTGCATAAAAACAGCAGCAGCACATAGCTGAGGCAATCGTTCACCATCTCTGGCAACCACAACGATAGGTGCGCTTTTACCTCACCGCAGCAGGGTATTCAGAGCGTCATAAAACTTGTCTTTGATTGTGTCAGGGCTGCACTCGGTTGGGCTGTAAGCAGGCACCATGAACATAAATCGATCGAATTCCCACTTGTGAGACTCCTTCACAAACGTTGCCAGAAGAACCGCGTGGAGTCGACTATCAACTGGTATCAAGTCAAGCAAGGATACTTCAACCCGGTGACCCTGCATATCCTGTCACAGTAGCTTTTGGATCACCAGAGATGCGCAGCCGGAAGCCAGTGGAGAGTGATGGGTCGGTTACCTCATCCACTGTTCTCACATCTTGAATTTTTGTTCGTGGTACACAGCACAAATCAGAGCCAAGCGAGCCCAATGTGCGACCCAGGGCACCTTGCTTGCTTCAGAGTGTAGACATTAAAGGAAGCCAGATAGACTGGGTGTCGAGGCCTGAAGATTGACTTCGGGATGCTTGAGGTTGTCGGCGTCAGTGGACGTGTAGTTGTTGCGGCCAAAATCGTTTCAAGACGAACGGAGTTCTCAGTCCCGATTGAGGGGCTTAAAAGGATAGACTCACTAATGGGGTGGGGAGGGGAAAGAAAAAGTATGTAAAATGGAAAGAAAAAAGAAAGAAAGGAATATCACGGATGACGCTTACCGGGCGTAGCACAACAGTTACATGATGAGACAAAACGTTAGCAGGCCATAATTTTTTTGTACGGATCTGGGTCGCACGATCAAAAAGCCGTTGGTGGACTTAGCGAAACAAAGAACTGTCCAGAAGCAAAGTCATACGGCGTCCAGTGTGGAAAATTCATAAAAACGAGTAAACGTATAGGAATCGTCACAGTGCACACACACACACACACCGTTCGCCATACGAACAAACAGACTACGAGCACCAAAAACAGATTGGACTTCAATGTAAAACCACATGTGGCCGCTCCATTTTCTGGTCAATCACTAAACACGAGATTGACAGCACACAGACCAGTATGAACAAGAAACGAAAATCCATGCGACTTCCGGTTTCGGTCATTGGAAAACGAAAGCCGAGAGATAACTGAGCACAGCGTGAGACAAGTTCCGAATCTAAACAAGGGATTCAACTGAGAAGAGTGGGCAAAATGAATACTCTGTTCCAACCAGTTAGTCAGGCAAGGCGGTCATAAGCGTAAGTGGAGATATGGCCCACAACTGTCCAATCATGAGGAGACTAACAACGTACGCACCACTCGTAAGACGTTTTGCCAGCGGCACGCACATACGGCTGGCTAGTGACGGCCAGCAAGCATCTTCGTGTTTACAACGGTGGTCACTTTAGAACGCTCAGGGAGGGGCATTTGTAGATACTCACACAACACAACACAGACAAAATAGGATGGAATAAAACTGAATTCAAACCAATGCGCTAGAATACGTGTACAAAGTACGTTTGAGATGGCAGTGAAACCAAGTGGACAAACCGGTAACCTAAGCCGAGGCTCTCACATAGACCTCCTTCAAACTCGGGCTGCGGTATTTCAGGTACACGCGCACAGTCAGTGCAGTCGGTGCTCTCTTTTCTGAACCAAGTTCACCTCCAAGTCACTGATGGTCTGTGGCTGTGGAGACGCTTGCTGCATCTGAAATAATCAATAATCGTTCAGCTTAACACCCTTTCAGTGCCTAGCTGCCATGCCACTCGAAGGAAGCACGAAGGCTGGGATGTTGTCAGGTTGCCAGGAGAAGTCGAGAGGCAGAAATCGGTATCGAATCACGGACCTTCTGATCAGTAAATTCGCGCGTAAAATAACACTTTTTGTGACGCTTGGCAGTCTAATCGTGCGAATCCTATGCGCAAATAGAAAACCATGTTATATGCATGGAAAAAAGTTGTGGATGGTTTTTTTTACCAGACTATGAGTTGGATCGTCTCATCCACCATTGAAGGCTGTATTTGGCACCCCGAACTAGTAACTTGTACTAAGGTCCCATACTGCGTAGTGCCGTGGCCGTGTACGAAACAGCTAACACCACGGTGTTTGTCGCACTCATTACAGCGAAGTTTGTGGTTCGTGTTCTTTATTGCATCTACCCTTGCATTTGGTTTCGAAAGGGTTCTTCTCAGCGTGTTTACAGACTGTTATTCCGTGTTGCTGTAAACGTCTTGCAACCATTTCCGAGACGGAAGCGTAAGTTATCCTCCTCTGTTCTGGTTGTGTTGGCAAGGCAGCATGGCGTTGATTTCGTAAGAATCTTCGTATGATGTTCCTTGGGTAGCCATTATTTTGGAATATCTTGTACGTTCTTCGCTGTTCTTTTCTCTTTGACTCTGTTGTGTTGCAGTGCGTCTCAATCCGCTTGAATAGGCCTCGAACAGAGCCACTCGTGAGCCACTGCTCAGACATCAGCTTGGCATTCTCAGGGTTGACAATCCTTCGGCGCTCAGAAGGTGCTTCCTCGCGCCATACGGACGTTGCAAGATATGGTTGCCAACCGATGTCAGTGGCATTCTTGTTGTCAATTTCCATCCAGATTGCCTGAATGAGTATCTGAAGGTGCAGGCACCTCGGAATCATTATAGTAAGCTAGCACTAAGTCCCTAACCCGTCCATCTCTATTCTTCTCTTCACAGTAAAGCTTTCAAATAAATCATGGTTGTACGGCAGCGAAACATCGATGTTGAACACTGATGTCATGCTGTCAACGATGATGATGATGGTGATGATGCCATAAAGACAAAAGCGTCAGTTACTTCCCTACATAAACTGAAGAGTAGTCGGATCTTTCTGCGCTTTTTGATAATGCTATTCTTGTTCCCTTATTGTATCTAATACGAATTTTCATGGGTGGTTTATGCGGACGACGCATTTCGTGGTCGTCACTACCAGTTCTGTGTATGTCTGTTCACCCCCACCCCGCTCTGTCTCTACCATAACAGAGTGTCCCTTGCGGTAGGAAGCTTGGTATGGCCCGGAATCGAACACGAAGTCAGGACGGGATTTCCGGCCGATACCCACTTCGTCATTAGCCACGTGACCATTCAGCACGCGTCCTGGCACGTGTCCACAGTTCTTTCGCCCCCTCATGTGACCGGTGCATCTTTTGTCTGAATATAGCACATTTCAAGCAGATTTTGAGGTGTAACGGCACGCGCTTTACCACGTGCTGTAAAACTGCGGTGTGTATGCACCCGCTGATCGCCTCTTATCAGTACACCCGTTCAGTCTATGTTATCCCACCCACTGTTTCTCACAGTCAATATTGATGTTCCAGGTGTCAAATATCCCAAGGGCAGAGCTTCTTTCAAAGTTCCTTTGTCTCTTCGGATCCCTGTGAAGGTGAACAGCAAGCAAAGCCGTCTTTGTCGTATTCTTCATACTACAGCAGCGAGTTTTGATCTTCCATCTTCCAAAGTCGGTTGCCCCGGTTATTAATCAAAGAATTTGGCATAACCTTCCTACCAGTTACCCAAAACGAAAGTCAATACCACGAGGTCATGAAACGGTTTAATCTGAGGTCACGGGAAGTCACGCCTAGATGGAACTGAGCTGTTTGGGTGTGGCACTGGGCCAAACTTCCTTCCTTCCTGGTGGATGCTAAGGACGTTGGCCAAGACCATTCTTTCGCGAGGACATGACATGCTGACTTGACTTGGTGTTGATTTTTTTTTGACTCTTTTTCCCAGCCAGGATATAGTTCCACATACCACCATAACACACACGTCTCAAAAGGAAATGTGTCACATCGTTTAAGTGCCGGTGAAGAACGAAGGTGAAGCAGTTGCTGAGTAAGTCAGACGATCATTTGACTGTTGGTGAATGTTCAGAATACTCAAAGATCTCCGCAGGAACTTGATAATCACCTACTCACAGAATTCTATTTGACTGAGATTTTTTAGCAAAAACCTGATCGGACCCTGAAAAGCCAAACCACAGAGACCACAGTTGACTACTTGGTTTATAAATCACGGCTCTTACCCTCAGAACTGCTCGTCTGCGGACCAGTTTTGAATGAGAGAGAATAAGTTTGAGCGGTCTTAGAAGTAGGCGCTTAGCACGTTTACGGAGGGCCCTCACGGAACAGCTAGTCGGGCTGCGTCGTTGGTGGTCTCTTAGTCTTTATCAATCAGAAATAGCCGCCTATTTCAAAGCCTTGAGAACTGTTATTGCATCCGCAACCCCGGTAACAATCGCCACGTGATTTATTCGTTTTTTATTGTTGACACAATCAAATACATGAAAGTACGAGGGCTGAGATGCAGACAAGTTACCCAAGCATAGACAGGAGCAGTCGACATGCCAGGTTTGAGTTCAAACCACGGCTCTTCCGGTCAGTAATTTCACGATTTGACCACTGGGACATCTCGAGGTCGAATGAATAGGTGCGCTTGTCCCAACTATTCTCATCTGAGAGGCCCAAATGCAACCCCAGATGGAAATGCAACCATATGTAATGTACAATTTAATTTGAAAGCTTGGAGGTGCCAGTGATTTCTGAGAGAGAAAAAGACACCCACCTTTCAATCCATTCTGAGCTTCCAGAGGCTGTGGTGAAGTTTGACCTTATGCATACGGATATTTAAGAGGCTAAGGAACGTTAATAAATCTTATTCGAGGCGCAAAAGCAAACACGCTTCGTTTTGATGTTGGTAGCCTGAGATGTTAGTATTTCCGATTGTAACTTTAACCAATCTATGCTAAAAAACCAAAAAGCACTGTGCAGATGTTCCATCCTTATTGGGAATCACCACTAACACGCGTATCACGAAACTCCAGGGAGCTTCCAACCCGCGACTTCCCATTAGCTGTTTGAACACTTGGCCATTCGGCGACGAGCGCCACTCACCCTTCCATTACGGAATCTCCATTATATGGTCACCCGTTGACCGACTCACAGAGTGACGACTTCTCGGATAGAAGTCTCGCCCACCGTGTAAATTATCCCCCCTTCAGAGCTACTTATTAGATCGCTGGTAGTGTGGGGAGAATTTGGAATTTGTCTCCTCTACATGTTGAATGTCCACACAACTAAACGAGAGGTCGCGGGTTCCGATTTCCCTGGAGTTCCGTGGGATGCGCACTGGTGATGAAACAGCTGTGCAATGCTCCTCAGCTTTTCGGCAGAGACTGGTTTCACTTACACGATGAAATCTCAGCTGAACACTTGCTTTATTAACCCTAATTCACTGAATATTCACTCTAGAGTTCCCCGTCTCAGAAACACACGACTGGGACCTATCCAAAGGGTTGAAATGCCTGTGCCACAAGATCCAATTATTGCGTTCAGTGTTCAGGATAACTAGGTAACAAAAGATTTCGACACGTTTGAGTATCATCTGCGAAACTTGTTCTGCCAAGGCAAACGGTCAGGGAATCATGCTTCCTTTGGTAAAAATCTCCCGCAAGAATGGCATTCTAGACCAAGAAATTGGAAAATTCAGCCGCTGCGAATTATCTAATGCTTGCTCCTGTCATGCCAGAAGTACAAGTCGCACGTTTCCTCACGAGCAGTTTATTCCATGTACAATCCAATAAGATGTGACCCGTCGCTGACTTGACTGTGCACTCTAATCAACCAAGGGGTTTACTTGATTTTCTCGTGGTTCTGATGGGATTCGAAGAATTGACAGAGTAGTGCAGTAGTGCAAACGGAGACCTATTCGTGTTCGACGTGCCTAGTATATGACTAGATTGGGGTCTCAGCAACCTCTGCCTCGCTGCAAAAGACAGATTTTGGGTAGCTTTGAAATTACAGGGGGCCGTTCACTTCGGGGACAGAATTCATGAGTCAAAATCACCATTGGAAAAAATATTGATGACTTGAACTGTCAGTGCTTAAAGCAGGACGCATCGCGTGTGTTAACTTCAGCCCAAGATTGGCTATCAACTGGTTCAAGAAAGTGGGACTGTTAGTGGTTCGGACTCTCTTAGAAACAATATAATGGCCAAGGAATACTGCGCAAACCAAATTCAAGCTGATCGTAAATTCCGTGACATCTACCTTGAAGATACATGCTGAAACTTCGAATGTTCCAAGTTGGACAGGAGTGGAGGTCGGGAAAATTAACAGTCTTGATGATGCCTATACATAAAGGCCGATTTGGGATACCAAGCTCAAAGGTCACGTGGGCATCGGGGACACAGGGCAACGGAGCAACCAATGGAACCGCCCGACCAAACAACTAATCGCGATCAAAGGTCAACTCCTGTTGGCAGCACGTATATTAACACACGCGTAACCACTAACCCACCGCTACGCTCCCCAATAACGCACTGATGATGTCACCTCGATTGGTAATGGAACGTTGGCAATCAAACTGCCCAGCTCAGCGGACAAGCCAACGACCAAACGCAGGTTTACCTAACCTGCAAGAGGATGCAGTGCTCCTGGTCCAACCACTCTGCAGTGACTCTTCTGATATGAAAGGAATTTCTTCAAATTGTCACAAAGGCTGCAGCAGTACAACACCAACGAATGGCAGAGGGTTCGAACCCAAACCCGGCTCCTGCACTGCTGCTGTCTGGGGTTGGGAAACTTGGTATTGTCTCAGCCTTTGTCCTCACCTGGGGTTGTCTATGTACCAAAAGGATGCCGCAGATGACAGATTATCTCTATTTACCCAGGACAAGAAACATGCAGCCATTGTGGTTCAAGGACTTTGAGTGACAAGCCAGCCCTGTGGAAGGCACACGATGAATGGTAATCAATCTTGTGAATCAGTTCCAAGTTTCAACGTCCACAAGATTCCCCCAAAACAACAAGAATCGAAGAATCCACGCGCCAGAGTCTACAAATCGGTAATGATCTACACGAAGACGAAGAGTGATAAAGATGGCAGTGTTTTTACACAAAGATACTTATGCTTTCTCAATACCGTCCTCCGAGTCAGATTAATGGAGGCCTGGGCGATGTAAGAGCAACAGAGAAACCGCCGGTAATTATAGAAGATAAAACGGTTCCTTCAACCCGCAAGCTGGTAGAATGCGTAACGACTTACCTACGAATGAGCTCGATGGCGTCTGCACAGGGCATCCCCAACTCCATGAGTGCTACAGCCACCAGCACCGGTGCACTAAGATGGGAAAAATATGATAAGAGAAGCTTTAGATTTAGTAAGATCCGTGAACACAAAAAAACAGCAAATCTGCAATACCCTCAAGTTGGTCTTCACCATGTCCACGTGGTACAGGGTGCTACATCCTTCGCGCTACCAAGAGAGTGTACCGGTGTGTGGTGTGGCGTTTTGTCTACCTCTGTGATCCACTGGGCTATACTGGGAGATATCGATTCGACGCCCGCGGGATTTCTCATACCAGGTTGTTCAATGGACAGACGAACTTGGTCTTCTGGTCCTGCAGGCATGATGACATATTCTTTAGAAAAACTTGTACCACTGTGGTAGTATACCGGCATGCATCCAGTGACATGCTTTTGGGTCAAAGGCTTTGGTTGGAGGCCCTGGTTGTCCTTCTGTCTAGTGGCCGCATACGCTCACGAACCTCTTAACTAAAAATACTGTCATGCCGTCATTAGCCGGATCACCTAAACTGCTACATACAACACGGCAGGTAAGCAAAAACATGTCTCTGATAACAAATCACTTCGCACACTATCAAGTATTCCCTCTTCTACCCTACACCAAGTTGAACTATCCCTCTGCACATCTAAGCACCAGGAATCACAGCCTTGTTCGCTTTGCAACACGTTCAGCCCAGCTGGAGCTACTACGCGTCTCTCTTCAGTGACAACCCTAAGCAATTGAAGCACAGTTTTCAGACACTAAAAGCCGGTCTACTCAGCTACCGCAGACACAGTGGAGCAATCAAAACAACAAGCCACTCTTGCTCGTAGGCTGCGTTCCCTCTGCATTGCTACACGACACAAATACAGTAACCAAACTGACTGTCCCTCGCTCACTACCCACTTGCAGCTGCTCACCTCCAGTGATGTGGAGGTCACTACATCTGGATATAACGGAGTGGTCACTGTATTCAGCCCTTGAGCTAAGGCGTCTCTACTTGATGGGATACCCGTCCAAAGTCGCCTCTAAATAGTCCGCTTGTCTGTAAAAAAAATCCCGTGGTGACGTTCATCCCTCCCATTGTTTGCATACGCCCAAACGGACTGTGGCTCTGAATCCGCTAAGAACAGTTCCTAAGACGGTCTAGATACTTTTTTACAACGGGCTAAAGGCCCAGATACAGTGGTGGTTCCTGGTGATACACAGGTTAATAGGCTTGTCACTACTGAGGCCCACATGGATGATCACCCTAGTTCGGACAGGAGACAAACGGGCAACGGAGAGCGATCAGTACAGATTTATTCACAGACTGATCTGATCAGAGACTGTTCCTTTGCAATGCAAAGTTCAAGAACAGCGGAAATCGCTTGACAACAGGATGCCCCGAATCCAAAAATGACCGCATTCCCATCGGTCGATCACTGACTGCCAAGCCACTTGATGTTAAAGCGTGGACTCCGACCACGCACTTGTCCGCGTCTGCTTTTCATTACGCTTTCCGAGTCTACACAAAACGCTCACATCTCGGTTGGCCACTGAGAAGCTCATGGACTCAGAAGTCAAGCAGATCTATCAAAATCGGTTCTTCCGACTCCTACCGTCTGGTCCGATGTCGGATGTTTACGGTCACTGGAAAAAGATATCCAAAGCTGGTAATGTGTTGAAATATTGGTAGCTCGGGTGAGTTTATTGGTTGTTGGGATAACCAATCAACACAAAGGAACACAATCACAACGCAACAAAGATCGCAAATGGACCAATAGATCCACTAAATTCGTTGCACCTCAAGTAGCCAATCACGTCAGAAGATAACATAGCCTTCGAATGCTGTACAAACGTACGCAGGCAAGGAAGAAACACCCACACAATTGCGCACTGATGATGTCTCCTCGTATGGTGACGAAACTTTTGCCAGCCAATTGCCAGGCTCGGCGAACAGATCAACAACCAATAAGATATCCAAAGCGCTACTCAGTGCCGGATACAGCCGTGCCGTGATACAACCAAGCCAACCTCATCCAAGCGCTGGACCCGTAATTGGACAGTGGATTTACTGGACGCTCAGCAACAGAGTTCTTCCGAGTCGCAACAACAATCCAACTAGACGCATCGTCCGACGTCAACTAAATGCCTAGGCAGACTGGACAAATTGATGGATCCGAAAGTCCGAAAAAAGGGAAGAAATGCTGGAACTGTCTACAGATCGTTTTGCTTGATTCCATAGACAGGTTCCCGGGAGCCTGTTGTCACTGAACTCATCATGGATCACGATGGCTCTCCGAGATACAACAAACAAGAAAGTTTGGATAGTTGGGCAAACACAATTCGGACGGGAACTCGGTCATCTGCTGCTTCCAATTCGGGTTGTCGATGTGATACAGAAACGTTAACTGTGAATATGAACTATCCTGACATGCCAACTGCTCTGTTCAACGACGGTGGTCAATTTCCCTGCCACTGCCCGTCTAGCCCATTCAAATCAACCTGAGAGAGAGTCCGCTCCACGATAGCACCCATCTTCAAGGGTGGAACTAACGGTGAACGTAGTACACACAGAGGCGTCACTCCTGTTCTAACAGCACTTTTGGGATCACAAATTCTTCGTCTTCTTACGGCGCCTGCGAAACCTTGAATCGAAAGCAGGAAGCGGGATTTTGACCTGGCGCCGGATGCATCGACCGTCAGTTGTTAGAGCAGCGCCGCTACATGTGCACACGACCCGCAATCTTCGTGTTCCTTGACTGCAAAAGTAAGTTCAATTCTGTGTTTCGAACGGTGATTTTAACTACACAGGCCCAACGGGAGATGCCCCAGAAAAGTATGAACATTACACGGTCCTCCGGGTTAATATGATGAGCTCTGTAAGAGCTTCACTACAAGGATTGATGTTCTCCTTTTGTTCAATCTCGTCGGAAGTGAAAGCTGCAACGTCTTCAAAACCATGGTGGTCAAATCGTTTCCGGTAAGAGCCTTGTTGATCTGTAGCACGCTTTGAGAACGAAGGTCAGGTAAAGACATTGTTGAACGAACTCACCACCTTCAAAATGCGTTTTGCATGTGAAGTAAATTTCGCATTCGTTCAGCCACAGCACCCTTTCGGTGCCTAGCTGCCATGCCATTCGAAGGAAGCTCGAGGGCTGAGATACTGTCAGGTTACCCAAGCCTAGACAGGGGGAGTCGAGATGCAGAGTCGGGTACGAACCACGGACCTTCCGATCAGTAAATCCACGCTCTAAGCATTTGAGCAATCTCACACCTACAAAATGCACGGTCGTGCTTCAGAACGTCTCTGAACAGGACCCTAGCAATTCAAACAGAGGCACTGGAGTTCGCTCGGAAATTTTATATATCACAGCAGTTATGCGTGAAATTGATGGGAGCTACTCATTGGTGTCTGTGACAGATCAACCAAATAATCGGCCGGGAACGAAAGGCGAGGATAAATACACAGCCGTTTCATTCTTTTTTGGTGACCATTAGCAATGCGTATCTAAAATATATTTCTGGGGAGATTTGAACCGGCAGTCTTCTAGATGGGAGGTTGGAAACTCTAATATCCAGGTGGTGAGTCCACTGGCAGTGTGCTTAGCACCTATTTGAACCAGACCTATTGTCGCTCACCCATACACTCCATAATTCCACGCAACATGAACTAGTGATGGATGGCCTTTCTATAATGTGGATATATGACACCGTATCATCATCGGGGGGGGGGGCATGAATATCTGCAACCTTGAAGATAAGCGCTGACTGTTGCACCCTTCAGTTAAAGACATTTGTCTACGGATGTTGATAACTTGCACCCCAGCAGAATAGAGTCTGTCTTCGTGGACATGACCGTCGCTGAAAACGCCGAATTTTGTTGCTGCGATGCCACCGTCTGCAAAGTAACCCGGATGGTGCAGATCAGTTATCACCACCACTGCTGACCCGAGTGGTTGCCATAACAACGGTCCAAACAACTTTGTTGATTCAAAAAGGACCGGCTACGGCAACTAAACAACAGCAGACGCCAAAATAAGCCAAACAACAGTGAACTCTATAAGGAATTTATGCAAAAATTTTGTTGAATGCCGACACAGAGGTTAGCTTCCGGCACGAGACAACTGACTGACCACATAAATGAAGTCTTGTGGAATTCAGACAGTGTTTTGAAAGAAAAAACGGAGCGGACGTGTATCTGCGGTTTGAACCGCTTAAATATGTTTCAAACTGTTAACCGAATGAGAAATATGAATATTCAGATTAGAGCGACGCGTGCGGTGTGTTCGATGTACCCAGTTTGTGTTCACCGGCTTATTAAGAGAGATTCGTGAGTTTGGAGAGAGAGAGAGAGAGAGAGAGAGCGGCCTCGTTTGTTGTCTCGCGCGTGACCGCTTGGTGTGCTTGTGTGGTCGCGCAACTGCCGACTGGTTCACATCAGTCATCCAAGCACAGATCCCTAGTTGGTGCTGCTCTGCTGCACTTCGAAGTCCAAGCTCGGTCAGTTGACCAGTACACAAAGTTTCCTTCTGATATGTTTTTGTGCTCTCTGCAGCAACAGTGAATCCAACCAACGTGATGCCTTTTGAAGAAAACACACTGTGAGAATGATCGTCGCCAGACATCCAATTTCTACTGCCATTGAACTCCTATTTGACGAAAGACTATCGACTAAACACCGTCGCATTCAAACGGTGGAAGTTATGAATGAAGTTTGTCACATCGCTACTTTTCAGTTATCCCAGTGTGGTGGCCCGACTAAAACCCAATATCGACTCAGAAATGGAAATCACCAGGGTGGCCAACTGTCCGGATGCCAGCCGTCCCTACTGACCGAACACCACATCATTTGGACGGATGTGTCACGTGCAGGACACGGACCAAACGAAGGCATGCCCTGATTGGTCAGCATGCCAGTCAATCCGAGTCGAGCATCCTTGACTCGGAGCTTCTCGCCCCCCTCACGAAGACTCTGGAACGATTTTGTGGAACACCCTGTGACTACCCTATAAATACAGTTGTAATAATTTTACTTTGTCCCCGTAAAGGGCTGTCTAGAGCTACCGTGCCTTTTGATATACTGTAGTGGGCGGAGCAGGAAGCCAAGGGACCGATATAGAGTTGCACTACCGTTCAGCAAGTCACAACACCAACGGAATCTGAACAAACGGCAGCAAACCCGTTAGTAAAAAACGTACGCTTTATTATCCCAGATTTCATAAGATAAGGCAGCGAACGATCATGATAGTAAGATGACAAAGGCACAGTCGTTTAATAGTGGGTAGTTTATACGATCTTTTTTGACTGTAGACCATATCTACTTTCTGGTATGTTCAAAACGACATAACCGAGGAGGTCGAGATAGGCTCAATGATTAAGGAGCGAACTTACTGATCGAAAGGTTCGTGGTTCGAACCCATGAAAAAATCGTTCAGCTTTAGCGCCCTTTCGGTGCCTAGCTGCTGTGCGACACGAAGGCGGCATGAGGGCTGGGATACTGTCAGGTCGCCCAAGCCTAGACAGTGATCAGGTTCGAACCACGGACCTTCCGGTCACTAAATTCGCGCTCCAATCACTTGGTCAAACTCCCCCCTATCTGGGGTCGAGCAACCTGCCAATACCGCAGCCCTCGTGTTTCCTTTCGGTGGCATGGGAACTGGGTAACGGGAGGGTGTTACACCTGAACGATTTTCCGATTTTATTCGATTTGACCGACTCCAAAAAGACTCCATTACTTTTCACTTCAAAGTGTTTGAATCAAGCTTACGAGTAGTGACTAACAATCTCTGCTGGAATTGGCCAAAAACTCGAATTGCTCGAACCAAATTTGTCGAGTTATTGATTCCATTTCATCCGGTTATAAGAGCGTCCATGTACGGATAGACATCAGCATCGGTAACTGGATACACAGCCTCGAAACATGGACACTCGGGTGATGGTCTGGCATAAACAGACCTTGATAGCTGTGTCCTGTTATGCCACATGTATAGCACAAACAGAGACAGTGGTTACGGCCAAACCACAGTTACACAGTTAGATGTGAACCCTGGTGATAAAACGAAAAACCGCAGCGCAAAATCACGTGACTTTTGTGCGCATCCAAGTTACCCTAATACTAGAAAAGTCTGGCTTGTATCGGACATGCGCAACCAATTCTGTCTCAGAATTACTGTTCATCTAGATCGTGACATCGGAAAGGCAACTTTGAATTTGCGAATCGGACGCTGTAAACAACTGACTCGAATTAGTCTCAGGTCTCCTGTGTATTTTCTGTATTTCTAATGTCTTGGTCAGGTAGATAAGGGCTTTCAGCGCGCATGGATGGAGCGTTGTTGGTACCCCTTGTTGCGCGATCTCCATCAGTTACAACAACCCTGCCCTTAGAGTGTGGATAGGTATTCTCTTAGCAGTGAAGTGGTTGAGAATAACACTGAGACGACATGAGACGAGGGGCGCATATGCCAGTGTGCATTTCAAGGTCATAGTCATCATCATCATCGACAGCATGACATCAGTGTTCAACATCGATGCTTCACTGCCGTATTCAAGACCATAGAAACCGACCAGTTGCATTTTCTGAGCAAGCAATCAAGCTGATGGATATCGTTCAGGGTATCATTCAGCTGTAACATCCTTTCGATGCCTATCTGCCATGCCACCCGGAGGAAGCACGAGGGCTGGGATACTGCCACGCCTAGACAGGGGAAGTTGAGTGGCAGAGGTCGGGTTCGAACCGCGGACCTTCTGGTCAGCAAAATTCGCGCTCTAACCACTTGGGCCATCTCGCCCAAGCTGCTGGATGAACGCACGAAACTACGGATTTGAAGGTACTCTCTAACAACCATTTGAAAAGAAACGGAGAACTCGTAAAATAATTTGACATGAAACGTTGCGTATAGGCTACTTTCAACCAAAACTGTTACGAAGTGTTTTGAAAGAATCGAACTCTCTGTATAAAAAATGATATTTCGAACCCGAACTCTTCCGTTTATGGCTAAAATCTTTTGCGGTCAGAAGCAACCGCATGCAGTAGTACCTTACCGCTGTTTTAATTTGAAGAACTTGCAGAGGTACAAACGGTCACAATGTCTCCTGATGTGGCGGACGTACTTTTGTAAACGCATTACGAAGCGATGACCTAGTGGATAAACGGACGTTCCGACAAGAGCTCTTGGTTCATGCGGTGCGTAACTGAGTTTCTCATAAAACTAGCATGCGCAGTACCCGAGATAGCCGATCAAAGTTTAACACAAGATTTGATACTTTCATAGCTAGCGATACAATCGGTTATCAAAGGCATGAGTCAAGACCGGAGAGCTGTCAAGGGTGCACTGCAATAGAGTTACAACCTGAGAATTTCGCTCAGTGCCACGAGCGTTCGATCCGCATATTCTGGTACTGACACAGGCGTATGCAAATGCGTTTTGCACACACAATAGCTAAGTTACCACTGGTGATGTTTAACACTCCAGCGCCTGAAGAGAACCGGGTTTACCTTACACAGTGGTCAGTAATGCACTTAAAATCAGGAGCAGTGAAACAGGTGGTTCTCCGGGCACAAGATGAACCTATGCTTACCGGGTAGGTGTTAGGTTCGTGACTCCAGATAAATCAGCCCATGAAAAGATAGCGTGAATATCGCTGTCGCAAAGTTGCTGAAAACTCTTCGGCAGCATGAGTAGTTTCGTTCAACAAAATACACTGCGGCATCTCCAGTACCGTACCAAATGAAACACGAGGCGGCCTTTGTGCAGCACATTCAGTTGAAGAATATCATAAACGAGAGATTCATTAGGGATTTAGTTGAATCACCCGTTCAAACCAAACAGTTTTTTTTCGCGAAGTAAACGACTCAGCTGCAAAGTGAACTGGTGCTGACTAAGAACTCAACTGAAATCCACACGAGATCCTGGTTCACAAAGACCGTCTGCTGTTTCAGTTGGAACGATATTCAGGGAAGAGAGGCAAATCCTGTGCAGCTGAGTCTGCGTCAACAACAAATGAGTTTGTAAATGAGTGATCAACACAAGATACCAAACCAAGTGCGCAGGCTTATAGTGGATTGTGGCAATCTAGCCTCGTGGGATAAATTCACGGAACGAACTCAAAAGGTGAGGCTTTGTGCGATGGTAAACAATCGGTGGATTGTTTACCAAACCCCTCTACAAACGATGACTTCCCAATCGGTCCGAAACATTTTCCAATTGATTGCTTCAGTAATTGTTTATCTGGTTCGCACCGATGGGACCTGAGTTTTCAGAGTCCCTCAAGCACTCCTTAGCATTCTGCATGCCCAGCAAGTGGAAGTGTCCCATTACTTGTTGCCGCACACATACAAGTTTTCCGACCACGTTAGCGCTGGCGAGATTAACGATCTGCGCACCCGTTGCCGAACTGCTCTGGGGCATCAACGATCCCGTGGTCCTTTACAAATGCAATTAGGGGGGAATGTCGGCAGCTCATATGACAGCCAAATTAGTGGCCTTGGTGAACAAATCGACAATCATCCTACAGAAATTGTGAAAATCATTTCATCTAGCCGCCGTAATTTGTGTGAAAGCAAGGTTGAAACACCTGTCGCTTGGACGTGTGTGCATCTGATGTGCGATAATCTGAGACGTATTCGCCAACAAGAAGCAGCATAGCACGTGAATTTGCACACCTGTCAAGCTGGAACTGAAATTGACCAGGCAAGGTTTCCGAAATGAATCTCGTGGACGTGCGTAACATATTTATCAGACAGATTTATGCACGCTGTTCGACTTTTCACGCTACGGAACAGAACCATCTACCCACAATAAACGCATATTATTACTGCGTGCGGTTTTTAAAATCTCATATGTAGCCTTTTAACGGATTCAACCTGAATGTCTCACTTCAGTGGTGCTAAAAAAAATTCGATCGTTGGTAAAATTTACCATTCGCATATCGCTCTAAGCATCGAACCGAAGGCGGATCCATCTTCGAAGCCGTACAAATGAAGGATCCCCTCTGAATTGTCGACTGACATTTTTTTCAGGTGAACTAGGAAACGAATCTTGACACACGAAACATACATTCGTCATCATTTTCTCAAATGCCCCTAGTTTACATTTCTGGCAACTTAGAATGCTTTTTGTTTTTCCTTTGTGGGTATGAACAAAAAAGTGAATTCAATAAATGCTGTGGGAAGGTTATACCAATAGCAGGTGTTTGGATGCACTCAGAAAGAGAAACCTCTCAGCTGTAACACCCTTCCGGTGCCTAGCTGCCATGCTACCCGAAGGAAGCACGGAGGCTGGGATACTGTCAGGTTGCCCAAGCCTAGACAGGGGAAGTCGAGAGACAGAGGTCGGGTTCGAACCACGGCCCTTCCGGTCAGCACATCCGCCCTCTAACCACTTGGGCCATCTCGCCCCCATTTGGATGCACTCAAGAGGATAAAAAGCCTACAGCTTGACCTTGCTTTGGGAGATGTTTAGATATCGCTTCGCAGTTCAAACACACAAGGTAATATACACTGGGACCAAGCAAAGTACGTTCCTTAGTCCCAGTGCAGTGGATTGTGTCTTGAAGACTGACCACACCTTGCCTCTCCGAACTGTTCAGTAATAGTTAAATCCTCGTAGACTATACCCATTTTGGGGAGAGGCAGACATCACGGAGAACTTCGGTAGCCGAACACTCAGACCCCAGAAGAATAAAAAACTCACCGTCCGTATCCAGCTATACAATGAACTGCAACGGGTCCAGCAGCGCCTGTTGAGTTGGAAGATGCGGTTTTCGGCTCTGTGTAGAATCTGGCCCGTAAAAGGTTGAACCAGTCGGACAATACGTTGTCCGGCGGCGGAGAACCATCACTGAACTCCCAATGCTGTGGACGCATCAAGGAAAAGGTGAGGCGATGAAACTTTGAAACTCATCATGATTTGATGAAGTAAGACAATAAAACCAAATTAATACTTCTGGGATTCAGAAGTGCAGAAGGTCGCTCAGAGCTGGCTGGTTCTATTGATTCAATTTTTTCAATGAATCGCGATTAGCCAGCCTTACTGATGCTAGCTGCCAATTCTCGCCGACACTTGTGAACAACCGACTGATTTGGCTAGTTAAATTAGTGAAATCAGCACACTTGTGGTTGGAACATCGCCTGGCGCACCTAGTAACTGGTGCGCGATTGGCCAACATCCAGTCAAACGTTCTGCTGAGCACAGCCAAACGACTAGGCGTCAAGCAGTCATCATCACAAACGAACACACCTATTCATCAAACGGTGGAACACGAAGTCCGATGTACCCCTAAAACGAGGCCACAACCACCCTTATGTGAGCACAAATGCAACCAGTCTAGCTTATATTTCGGTAATTCCCCTTACATTAAACCGAAATTTCAGTTTGATTGTCCACACTATCGGCTTGTACTGTCACACTGATAGGGGTTGAGTCACAGGCTCTAGTCGATACGGTTAAAAGTGCAAATCTATCCTAATAGATTGAAAAGATTCTCGGGTTCCACAACTTTAATCATCACTCCTTGGGTTACCAGAAGAATGCAAAAATACTGCATCTTGCAGTACGACTTTGAACTTTGTGAAAGTGAAACATATACCGAAGGAGTGGATTCCTTGGTCAGCTTTTCGAGTAACGCTTGCGCTTCTCGCTTTTTTTCAAAAATGACAACAATGTTGCCTGAGCATTCCAGACTGACAAAGTTCTCGCTCAGAGAGATCTGAACATCGGAGATTTGCAGACCTTCCGGTGTTCGCCTTATTACCTCTTGAGTGAGGAAACCGAATAATGGAAAGTGAGAACCCTTGTCGGACACCATTACTTGTTGGAAAGCTTCGCACACACTCTCACACGCCCACAAGTACCTGAATGTAAACAGCGCATGGCGTTCATGAAATTTCGGGTCATACCCTTTTACGCAGGCGTATTAGAAGAGCCAACCGATCGACGAATTAGAATGCACTCTTCAAGTCAAGAAATACCAAGATTGTAGAGCGCCTATATGCATGCGTCACCAACAATTGATGATGTCGGATAGTGACTATCACCGGAAGGAGATATCCAAAGCTTTACGTGGTGCTGAAGCTTCCTTCTGCAGCACAACCCAGTCGGTCCCTTCTGAGCAATAGATTTCCGTTAAGATGGAGGCCCAGCGACAGATTTCTTCCGAAACCAAACACAACCTAAATCGACGCATCGTGTGACGTCACGTAAAACTAAGTGCTCAAGCAGAATGGAAAGCTTGGTGGGTTCGAAAGTCTGAAGAAAGGAAAGAAATCGCAAATGCTGGAAATGTGCGTCCTCGGAAGCTTCTTGTAAGTGAGCTCATCAAGGTTCACAATGGCTTGCTGATATAAAACGAAGAAAAAAGTTTGGACCATTGGGCAGAATAAGTTGAACAAATCAGTTGGCCACCTGACACTTCCAATCCGGGCTCTCAGCCTTTGACAGAAATGTGGACTGCAAATGTGAAGTCCCACTCAGCTTGTGTGCCAATTACCTCTACTCAAGAGTCAGAGGGCCTCTGGTCCCAAAGACCAGCCATATATTCTGTCCAGATACGGCGGTATATTCCTCAATCAGTCCCTGTCTAACCTACCTCCTTTACCCCTGAAGGGGAAGAAAGCGTTTAAGACACCTTGGGTCAGTCTATAGAATTGTTCGCCTTCAGTAGCAGTACTCGCACTGAATGCAGTAACCATGAGGGACGTCATTCTGACTGCCGATATAACAACGCTTCCGGCATCGTCGGTTCTTCGTCTTACGTCGGTATTCGGAACCTTGACCAGTGAACACGAAGCGAGATTCCGACAGCACACAGGTTGCACTTACCAAAGCTTCACACTCTGACGGGGGTTAGAGCAACGTTATATGTACGCACGACCCACAATCGCGTTGTTTCTGGGCCTCACGAATGCGTTGGGTGTTGTCAATAGGTCACCACTCCTGCTTATATCTTTCTTATCCTGATGACACATAATTGTAGGTGCGTGTGTATAGTGACCTCTTTGAGAGCTTCCCTACAAAAATGATGTGCGATAAGCATATCCACTCCCTCCATTTTCATTGAACTTTGTTGTCGAAGAAACAACATGGCTAACAGTGAAATGTCTTTAAAGTCCCGATGTTTAAATGGATGATGTTGGAGGCTATGTCGATCTGCAGTACTCAGAGGACATCATCCTCAACTTTGAAGCCGAAAGCCGAAAACAAACTCTTGAATGAACTCACTGCCATCATACCATCTTTTAGCATGCATTGTGCGCCTGAAAACTGCGAAACCATGCTTCAGAACATGCAGTCTCTGAACATATCCAAAGAAGTACTACAATGTGTGGGGAAATCATCAGCTAGCCATGACGATAGTATGCTTGATGGAGTAAGTGCATGAAGCCTAGAGGCCCGAATTACGTTCGTCAGCTTAATTCACTTGTGGCATGAACAAGGCACACCACAGGGTCCAAAAGGTTGTCTGTACAAGACTACGGTAGGAGGAGTAAGGGAGTGTTTTTATCCCTGGGGTGCAAAAGGCATATAGAGAAAACTCAAGTGATATATCGACTAAGAAGTTAAAGGGGGATGGCGAAATAAGAAACCCTCGCATCACGCCGCTGGATGTGGCGAACTTGGGAGAAAATTCGCCACAGACAAGTCCATCTCCAAGGTAGGAAGCATACAGATCCTTTATAAGTAAAACCTCAAAAAATCATTCAGCTGTCACACCCTTTCGGTGTCTAGCTGTCATGCCACACGAAGGAGACACGAGGGCTAGGATACTGCTAGGTTGCCCAGGCTTAGACAGGGGAAGTCGAGAGGCAGAGGTCGGGTTCGAACCACGGACCTTTCGGTCAGTAAATTGGCGCTCTAACCACTTCGGCCATCTCGTCTTTTTTAAGTGACAAGAACTTAGTAGGGACACCCTTCACCGCCAAACAATAGTTTCTGACGATCAGTGTGGTACAAAGTAGATCTGAGATCGAGGAGGATCATCACAAATGGTTATCGGGAAAAGTAGAACAGTTCACTGCTGATTGCAAAGCTAGGGTGAAACCCAGAGCCAGATTTTGCGGATCTGGATCTCCAGATAGTGGACCCACCTTCACAGGGTAACACCAGAGAGCCTTCGGAAGCTATGGCCACTAGAGTGATACCCCGGTGGTTTTCGTCTGATGTTTTTTCACTGTTTTGAAAGTAGGAATCACCGTTGAGGCACTTCATTCTGTCGGTATTCATTCGCCACTCCATATACTTTGGATTGACACTGTTTGGATAGCTACGAGGGATTCGCGACTTCTTCGAAGAGTTAAAGATGCAAGCCATCTGGCCCAAGTGCTTTGTTGCGCCGAAGCAACAAAACTACACGTAAGACTTCAGCTGGCGATGGCGGATTGGTACCGACGTTCCACTCGGCCTCATTTGGTTCTTCCAGAGGGGTTGGGTTGATAAGGTTCGCTGAAACGTTCTCCAAAGTGTTCAGCTCATCATTCAAACTGATATTTCTGTGAAAGAGTTGAGGTCCCATCTTTTTCGAAGATCGTTAAACTAACATCCACTATCCTCGGACCAGTCGATCAAAATGACTGGAACAGGGTGCGATAGTTTCTTATTACCAAAGCCTTCTCCAGTCCCGGGTTTTTTCGATCCACCAGACTTCTTTCAATTATTAGGCCCTTATTTATTCGGCGTTTGTGAATGGCATAATTCTCCCGGCCGTAATCGGAATTACTGATCGTGTTCCTTGGGGTTCACGAGCATCCTCGATGGGACAGTATCAAGGCTGTGAACATGGCTTCTTTCACTTTCTCTAATCACTGTGCCCGACGAGTTCCGGGAGCTTCTCATTCAGCTCCAGTTCCAGGGGCGCTTTGTAGGTGGTGAACTGAATGGTTTTATATCAAGTGGCCTGTTGTAGAGGAGAGTTGAATAAGTACGCGCGCCTACATCAAGCCATGATCAGAGTCCAGTGGTGTACTCCACAATGACCGAAACTTTGAATCGAAGGTCTCCACAATTAGCGGGTTACCACATGGTCCAAATGCGTCCATGGCTAACTTGAAGTCTGTGGTCTCCAATTTAAAGCGCTTGTTATGAGACTTCGTGCTGGCTATAAAAAACTATTTTCAGCATATAGCATAAGACTTCGCTTCCCATTATGTGTGCGGTAAAGGTCAAATCTGAGTCGGCTGCCAAGATAGGCTTCATCAGAATTTAACTGGCTGAACTGGCCATTAATACAATCCATCAGAATCACGATATCTGAACCATTTGCTGAAGGAATCAACCGTGATGTCTTCCCAAACCTCAGAGATATCGTCAACTGTTGTGCTGACACCAGACATAAACACCAACCAGCACGTAGAAATGCGCTGACCTAGATTGAATCAGCCAACCTACAAAGCAATAGCGACTAATAACTGTAATCCAGCCCAAAAAACTCACTCAGTCCTGGAGCCAAGCACATCCCCACACTGTAGATACTACGAGCATTACGATCACGGGAGGTCCGAAGAGTGAAATGCGAGAAACCTGGGTTTTCTCGAGGTGCATGACAGACATTCGGAGAAAGAACATGCACAGATCAAAAAGGAGAACAAGGTCTGTACAACAGCTACTTGCTGCCTAATTTCTCCCCAGGAGTGTTGAAAGCACCAATGTAGAACAGAACTCCTGGATTTACTAAGGGTCTATTTTAGATGGAAGCTTAGATGAGAAGTAACAGTTGGGTAACTGACAACTAATTGAATCATATGAGCTTGGGTATGTGTGGAGGGGAGAGAATGAACGAAGAGCTGCAAGGGCAAATGATAACCCCCCTTGCCCATGTCGAAGAAGAAGATCCAGTTGAGGCACCCACATTGTACCCTTGACTCAAAAGTGTGATCCATAAGACAGTAGAAGACCGGACCTTTCTCCTAGCCTCTGACTGAAATAGTGGATGGAGGGGAGAGAATGAGCGAAGAGCTGCAAGGGCAAATGATAACCCCCCTTGCCCATGTCGAAGAAGAAGATCCAGTTGAGGCACCCACATTGTACCCTTGACTCAAAAGTGTGATCCATAAGACAGTAGAAGACCGGACCTTTCTCCTAGCCTCTGACTGAAATATCCGGAGCGCGGAGCGACAGTTGTTAAGGTTTTCTTGGGGAACCACTCCTGGAGCCAATGAATTACTTGACTGCAGCGGTCTTACCCGAGGAAACAGGGGGTATGAAAGAAATGTCTCACCCCTAATGCGGCTGCACACAGCAGGTACCTTTGAATTTAAAAGCATTCCGATCGTATTGTACAACGCGAAGTGAATCACGGTCAACCGTTAGGCGGCTTCTAAGTACAACCTTCCCAATGTTCTTTGTCGTTGGAAGAAGGCATCGCCCCTTCCTTAAATATAAACATGCTGGTCATCTGAAGGAAACTAGTTACTGCCCACACACGCCTACCGCAAAGGACAGTGCAGCTTTATCTCTGTGCCACCTCGTAATACGATTTCTCGCAGTACATGGATCTCTGTCCTTCATCTGGCTGCCTTGGCCTTCCTGGTATGGCTAAACCTTCAGGAACTGATTTCCGGTCAATGCAGCACTGGAGTCCGGCCACCACAAGGGGTAAACCTCAGTCTGCGATTAAATGCTATGAAACCCATAACGAGTTTGTATGAACTCCTTGGGTCCCCTTCACTTCTCCTTACCTTATGCACTGTTATGAGACTCTGACCTCTAAATTTCGGCTTAGCAAGATTTTGCGGGGTCATCCTCTGTCTTCGAAGTACTGTGACTGAATGGAATTCTGTCGCGTTAAGAAATAGAATGTACACGTTGAAAAAATGACCCCAGGTTTTTTCTCACTATAATACCCAATCTAGGTGCATGGAATGTGCAAGTTTCGATGTTTCTTCCAACTTTCACATCAGCAACAAATTGTAACGAGTGCAACCCAAGGACCACATCACTAACTAGAAATAACAAATGACCCAAGAGAGTTCCGTATCTCCAACTGCTGGTCTCTTACCTTCTAGAAAGGACTTATAAGTGCCTGAAAGGTGCCGTAATTTACAAAGCTGGGTATCCATTGGATGGTGGTAAGCAACAGCTCAGTCATTGGGGAGCATTGACTGACAGAGTAAAAGACTTCAGCGAAATTCTTTTGAAAGATTTACTAGGGCTAACACTCCGACCGAAGGCAGCCCGCACCAACGATCAGACGTCTCACCCAAGACGTGAACGTCTATGTGAAGACAAGGTTGCTGAAAAACTGACCCCTAGTAATCCACTACATGATCTTCAATAATGACCGGTGCACGATTTTGAGGCGGTCTCATACCTACCCCTATGGCTTTCCACGCCTCCAAGCCTTAGAAAGTCTCTCGCCTGCTGTAATCATATAATTTCTGGTGAAGTATTCTACGTTGTCTCGTATTGGCTGCCATCGCCCATAAAATCCAAGACCATAAGAGTCCCCAGTTCATGTACACGAATTCTACATCCAAAGCAAGAATAGCAACCTCCGACGCTTCTCGCCTTAAAATAGTCATAAGCTTAGAACGTGACCGCCGTTTTACACTGAGCTATTTTAGATCACTAACCAAATGAGAGTATGCACAGTTCTGTCACCCTGGCGGGTCCGCAGACGTGTTGCTAAATGCCTAAATGTTGAAGGCTCTCCTGCTGCATCTACACTAACCCTAGGATATATGCAGGGTAAAAATGGCACCCACAACCGGGCCCGACTGCAAGTATTTAGCCCCCTGAATTTGCTAATGGTGGTAAAACCTGGATGGAGGTACGCTGGCTTAGTTAGTTATGCACGACACAGTACACTCATGGCATTGGATAAGCCGGGTAAGTAGAAATTCAGTCTGTTTGAATGGCAGTGGTTCTCATCCTCTCCATGAACTCCGTGACGAGCCGAAACATCGGATAACAATCTACATAAACATTTTCAGCACTAATCTGGGTCGCCTTTTACCCTTCTACAAAGCACTTTGCCCGACTTTTGCCACACGCTGTGGAAACTGGCGTGAAGCATGCACCTGCAGCTCGTTTAATTTAACTTTCCAACCACAAAAGTAAGTACAGAAGCATGGTGCGACTCACGTGGACTCTGATTCCGGATCTCTCAAACTCATCAGTTGGATATCTGTCCTCACACACACGAACAATATCCGACACATGAAGCCGAGAGCATTCCTACAGCTGTAGGAGACTGGTAATGACAACTTACCTCCACAAAATAAGGCACGCTGCTTTTTGTGGGAGAGTCCATTATAATGAGATTAATTCCTTTGTATTCTATGGTCGTAATGACAGGCAATCTTAAGGTTCTCGAACTCATGCCGAGCACAGCTACGGTTACATCTCAGTAGGTTGAAAGTACGCCGTGCTGAAGGTCATCAAGCGGTCTCAGTTCAACCGGATCAGTGTGTTTCACGGATTCACGAATTGATACAGAGGATCGAGGCTTTTGCCCAAGTTTACCGGGTCGGTTTCGTTCATTTCGTTCAGTGGCTGTCATTCACCTGAGGGGCACAAGTGAAAAAAGGGTTTGGCATTGCTTTTTATGGTCTCAGCAGCCTTGCGCGGTACTTTCGAAATCGGTTTCGTTTTTCCCTCGTGCAAATTCGTGAAAAAAAATTTTCGTTGTTCAATCTATTCACAGAGTACACATGAGTAATTGTTGAATTTTATTACTCTAACAAAACATTTGAGTGATAACCCTTTATAT